TCTCCGTTCTCAGCACTGTGGCGCGCATTTCTCACAAAGCTACACCTTCTAAGCCTGGTAATTGAATTCAGTTTTAATGGGACCGCACCCTGTCCTGCTATTCTCAGTTCGCCGAAGACAGTTAAAGAACAAATGTCCACTCTGCGAGAGGGCAGAAAGAACGCAAGAGCAGAAAAAGAGAAAGAAAGAACTGAATGAATAACTGAATATTTAGTAATAGCGATGCATTCGCTGAAACCAAAGAAATATGAGAAAATGAACATAAGTGTTAAAAACTAAATTCGTTTACTGATCAACCGGCCACCTTCAGACTGGATGATGAAAGCTGATCCGTCGCGGTTTCAATGTTAGTAGATGATTTATTTTTTTTAGACGTGTGCGCACATGGCACGGAGGGACACATTACACGAGGGAGGGACATATCACACGAGGGAAACGGCATGTCGGGTGCAATACAACTAAACGTCTCGACCCCGTCTTGTTCCTTTTAGTTTATATATTAATTTTCTTGCTTTTTTTCGATGCGGCCGTGATGGCGGCGAACAGAAACGAAAAGACGAAGGCTTCGTCGCTATGCACCCAAAGCTTGGCCACTGGGAACTCGCTGTTGTTCGTTTGATGTCCGCGTGCCGTTCGACATGTTGTCAACGACGCGCAATAATTTTTCTTGAACCATGGAAGTCTGACTATCATTGAATGACAAGATGTCGTATAGCCTTTCTAGCTCCTCGGTTGCAAAAGCGTGACCCTCTTACGGCAGCGTCAAGTGTCGACGACCGCAGCGACTGCGAAACTGTACGGTTGACGTGCGCGTATACACTTGGAAGTGACAGCTCGAGCATAGGAAAGGCTTAGAGAGAGAGAGGGTATCGAATGAGACGGCTGGGTAAATAAGTATGGGACGAGGAAAAGAACACGGAAGTAAACGACGGTGGAAATGTCCGCCTTCCACGAACCCGTAGGGGCAATGAAAATATATAAACATCTGTAGTGGCACTAGCACCGAGTGACAGTCTTGTTACTTTTCCCAAGCACTTCCGGTCTTCCGAAACGTACTTCTGGTTTTCCGAATATGCCTGAAAAGTGTTACAAAAATACACATTCATGGTTGGGGTTCAAGTTAAGTGTTGTATTAGATACGTACGATATCGGTGTGCAGGTTTGCTTATGCGTTAGTTGTAAGCCTGTGCAATTAATAGGAAATTAATTGAGTTTACCTAAAGATTGTGAGCAGCTAGAATCGCTACGGTGCCTGGCGGAGCTGATGAGCTACGCGTGCTTTCCTTCCGTTGGTTGCGACCATAAATATTATATACTGCGGTCCTCGTCCTTCAGTGAGGCAGCGCCATTTCGTCGGATGTACTTAGAAGCTCACCTTAGCGTATTGTGGTAGAAAGTCATGGAAGGGTTCGTGCCCGTACGTCACATATCTTCGCTTCATGCTCATGTATTTGTGAACTTACACAGTACCTAGCCATTTTTCTTTTCGCTTCGTGTCGTTGCGCCTCGGTGCTTAAGCTTAGCATACTTCGAATTTGCTAGCGTATGCCTTTTGCCTTGCACATTTAACGAAGGACCTATTTTTCCATCATTTTCATGTAATTTTGTTTAGACGCATTATAGGCGTTTGCTAACAAGGTAATATGCGATGCATGGAGGCGTATGTATGGAGGTGCGTTAACGAAGCATAGTCGTGCTCGGGTAAGACGATCAGGGGGTGGGATGTGGGGAGGGGTGGGAGGGTCGTTTCTCGTTTCCTCCCTGCTTTCGAGTAGTAAGGACCTCAGTGGAAATGTTTTGGGAAGTAGGGGTTGTCTGTGGTGAAACTTGAGTCCCCTCGGGTGCACGCCCGTGCAAGGAAACACTGTAAAGCTTTTTTCAACGTGGCAAAAAAAAAATATTGGCGATCTGGGCACAATCTTGTAGTGACCTTAACATTATATATATATATATTATATATATATATATATATATATATATATATTATATATATATATATATGCAAAAAAGTATGCCCGCAATATCTCGGAAAGATTTTTCGTGCATCGATGCGGCTTTTGCCTGCCTCTTTATGACAATGTGCTTACGAAACCAATGTAATATTTAGGCGCACGTCAAACAAGGGTCCAACAATTGGCACTTCCACACCTCTGTGTTCCTGATAATCGGGGTTTTCCGTCTAAAACTGTATAATAACTCTATTTGATTTATATTTATTGACGTGCACATTGTGTGCGCACGTAGTACGGATGTTTTTGTAATTAGGCAAGTCGGTTCCCACGCACTGTTCGAGGGTACCAGTGCGTGTGGGAAAGATTATTCGCTATCTGCGACTATCAGGGCTTGCATTATCATTACAACAGGTTTGCGCACTGGGCGGAGGGTGGGGGTCCCCTAGTCACGTAAGAAGGGGGGGGGGGGCGCAATTGCAGCTCCATAGATTTTATAATACAAAGGGGGCGCTGCGGCGAACCACCTTCGGCCCCCCTTCCCCTGAAGGGGAATTGTGCTCACGCCCATGATCGTTATACGCGACCCTTACTCGCAGAAGTACTCGGCTTTATAGGGAAGCGTGGGTGGTAAAAAGAGCGGCTGAACAAGAAAAGAAATGGGAAGCGAGATGGGATAAGCCAACAAAATACGATGAATAAAGCGAATGCCCCCAAAAGGCATTGCGGTGTAAGCAGAGATTCAAGGGTATGAGGAAATCGGCGGTGGGGGAGGGGGAATACGAGCATACCAGACTTCGAGTGCTTACGTGTATACTGCTTTGCCCAGCGTTCTTGCAATCGAAAACGAGGGTAAGTGGGAAAGGGCGACGCACGCGGCACGGCGGAAGGATTTAATGGTGGTGGTGGTTAGAAGAGGAAGAAGGCGCCTAATTTCTGCAGCCCGGTAGTGAGCACGGCGCAGCGCCTGATTTAATGAGTCCTCGTCCCACGCAGTGAGCCAGGAATGCCGAGACGTCACATCCCTCGTCAGCCATACGACGAGGCAGCTATCCCAGGGAGCAAGCGAAATAGTGCAATGAAGAGAAAGAAAAGGAGGAGGGGGAGGAGGCGCGCGCAGAGGGGAAGCAGCAGCTGCGTGGCACGCGCCGCTCTTTATCCAAATAAAGTGAAACGGGCGTAGTGGCGAGGGAGGGCGTGCAGTGGCTAGCCGCGTTCTTCGTTGCCAAGCTTTTTTCGAGAGCACCAGTAGCGCCGTCTTCCTTTTCCTCCCTACTCTCCGCACCTTCCCCATTTGCCCCGACGGACTTACGCACCCTCGCACTGCACTTTGCACTGTTCCAAGTCAGTGACCCGGTACCGCTTCATCGCATTTAGTTTCGTTTCATTCCCTCTTCCCTCCCTGTACTCCTTAGGTACTTTGCTTAGAACGTTACCTAATTTTTTTTTTTCTCTCCCGAAACTGCCCTCTTCTCCTGTCCGTGCCGCTGCATCTCCCGTGTTCCTCGTTTACGTGCTCGTAATGCCACGCTCGTTTGCCGCAACTCGCGGAGGCCCAGGGCGCTTGATGTCTCCTCCGAGGCAAGCTCTTGGGAGGACAATTGATGGCTTCGTTGCGCCTGCGGTGGTGTTTGCCCGCCAGTTCTTCAGGCTGCTGTGCGTACTTATGTAAAAGACGGACACCTGCGGCGTCCTTCCGTTCTTTTGTTGTTCTTTGCGCGAATGCCATTTTTTTACTGGCTCTCCCCTTCCCACTCGTTTTGATGATGACGCTCACTTCTGACCGAATTCAGCGTGTCTCGAGTTGAGAGTACTTATCGCGCTACCGCGTATTAAATCACGTGTACCACCAATGGGTTATGTTTTCTAGTAATGGCTAAGTTATGGTTAATGCTGAAAATCAGCTGTCATATGACTACGCGTCGTCTTTGTGCAAATTGAACGTAACGATCTTGCTGTGTACGTATTCTTTTTCTTACACCGTACCGCGTGTAAAGGTACATCCGTCAAGTAATAAGCCTGGTTCTAGTAAAAAAGAACCCGTAAGTGCTTTATCGGGGCTGTATCAGCCCACATTCAGGCCTTGCAGACTTCTACCAGTTCCCAAAGTTCAGAAGAATCCTGAAAGGTCGCTGTTTCGGTGATGTAACGAAGGCTCTGAAAAAGGTCATGGCAGGTGGTATTCAGACAGCCTTTGCAGACCATGTTTCGCTCTATAAGCGCTGTATTGACACCTGATGAAACTAGTTTGAAAAATCTTAATATTATGTACCGATTGGACCTATGATTAGGATTTACAAGATCCGGTCTCAACACCTACAAACTGTGTACACTAACGTATCCGCTGCAGATTGTTTGGGTCCACTTCTGAATCGATGCGTGCCTTCCGGTATCTAATTGATAGGCGTTATGTTACGGGTGTGTACCAGCACATTCTGGAGCTGACGATAAAAGCTGCCGAATGTTACGCACAACCGCGTGCGTAAATAATGGGGCATGAGTGCGCAAGGAAAGAGCTTCGCATGTATTTGTGTATAAACGTGGCCGGTAATAGTGCCATGTCTTATATTGAATGATCGGCGTGAACCAATAGATTTGGGCTATCCCGAAATCATGAGCAAGCAAGGTGAAGCAGGAGTATTCTGTGAGAACATAAAAAAAAACCTTTCCTTTTATTGATTTTTTTTTCAATAAACTTGGTATGAAGAGAAAAGGAGGAAAAAAAATAACTGAAGGGAAGGGAGCACGAAAAGAAAAAAATAAAGAAAAGAAAGTAAGATAGAAATATGCCAAACCCGTTGTCGCTTACCACTTAACATACGAGTGGAGTAAAAAGGTGAATATGGTGGTGGACATAGAGCCCTTTCTAATTGGATTTGCGTCACCTGCATTGTGACATTTCGTGCATGCATGCACGTATTGTGGGGTGATTTTTTTTTTCGCTTTCTTATAGCCGAGTGGTTTCACGTCTTCATGTCATCGCTGAAAAACGCTTGCGTATGTATAGCGCTCTCTAAGCTTGCCCATATATTATCTCCACCTTTGTTTCAGGCTACGCCGCCGTGTGTCCGCTCGGTTAGGACGTCTACCTTTGATTCTGGGACAAGGGTGAGTGTATCGACCCCTCTCTTTCTCTCTCCTTCCTGGTGTTTTTTTTTGTTGCTTTTTACTTCTTTCTCGTCGTTTAAGTGCGGGCGCTGTAGGGGCCCGGACTCTGGTATATATGCTATTGTATGCTGTGATCGCTTGGCGTATCGCGCGCAGGCGAAAGGAACCACGTATACAGCGCAGCCACCTGTATAGCGTATTGATTGCGTGCTTGCGCCAACACGTTTTCTTTCTCTTCTACTTCGAGCGCCCTAACGATCGTAATATTTAAGTACGGAGCACTTTGAAAGCTCGGGTATGCTGTCGTCGCTTCGCATAACGCAGACAAAATCGTTGATAAATATAGAAGAAAAGAAGAAAGTGAAAAATAGAAAGAGATAATGAAAGAAAGGACGAAAATGGATATGAATAGGAGAGAAAGGGGAAAAAAAAAGAGAAAACTTAAGAGGAACAATTGAGAAGGCTGCGCATCTTCCAACTTTCTTTCGAGCTTCACACCACTATAGTGCGAGGCTGCATAATTTTTTTCTTTTCGTTTCATAACGTTGTTCCCCAGTGGGGCTCTCTGCACCTCATAGGCCGTCATCAGCCTGACGCGTCGCTCAGCATTAGGCAGACGCTATTTTCACGTCATTTACGTGCATTCGCAGTTACTGCACGTTAAAGGAAGCGAACGATAAAAAGGCGAGAAACTACAACGAAAAAAGAAAGAAAGAAAGCAAGTGAGAAATTGCAGATATCACGCGATATTTTATTATACGGTGACCGGCATAGGTCGGCAAGCTCACTCATAAGCCTCGCCGCGGTGGTCTACTTACTGGCTAAGGTACTCGGCTGCTGACCCACAAGTCGCGGTATCGAATCTTGGCTGCGACGGCTGCATTTCCGATGGAGGTGGAAACGCTGTAGCAGCCCGTGTGCTCGGATTTGAATGCACGTTAAAGAACCCCAGGTGGTCGATATTTCCGGAGCCCTTCACTACGGCGTCTCTCATATCATATGGTGGTTTTGGGACGTTAAACCCCACATATCAATCAATCAATCAATCAAGCATGTTCACGTCGGTAAAGTGCGTAGTTATCGCTTCATCTTACATTTGCGATTGCGGGGATTGTTTATTGTCCCTTTAAGATGGCTGAAGAAATCAAGCTCACTCATAAGCCTATATACTCACCGACATTCGGATTTTGACACCTATCCTAGCGAGTCTTGGCGAGTAATGTTCTTGTGAGAAGTAGTCCACGTGCGAGTGAGGCTGAGAAACTTCTGCGAGGCTAAGTAGGAGTGAGCCTGGTTGAGAAAGTTTTGGTGAGTGTGAGTGTGCCCTAAGGGCAGAATACACTTCACGAGTGAGTACGAGTGAGCTCCACATTTTATAACTTTTTTTTTATGTTGACCGCTCGCTGAATTGAATACGTTAGACTTCCGAAAGTCAACAGTCTGCATGCGCTCGCGTTTACATACTGGACCACAAGGATTCATGATAGTAGTATCACTAGAGCAAAATATGGTGCTGTAGTTTCGATCGAAGTTGCAATGCAACAAGCTTCAGCCAGTATCGGAATGACGGAGAGAGGTTGTGCTCGTTTGGAAGCAGTTTGAGAAGTATAGCCGAGTTCAGTAAGCTCATTTCCTGTCAACGTCATTTGTGATTAATTACCTGGTGGCTTTCGCTAATCATATGCGCTGTGTCACCGGTTGTGCCCCCGTGATCTCCGACGACAGCGCAGCTGTGGCCGACTGGCTCGCCCTATACGCCATCTCCTGACGCCGACAAGAGCTCTCGCTGAGTGGTGCCCGTCTTCAGACTTCTGCGACCGTGTCCGTCTTTCCTATCTTCTCCTTACTTCCGTATGTGGCTGTCCCTGTGCCTCTCTCCCCTCTTGCTCCTCTCTCTATTTCTATACCTTTAATTCCTATCCTTTTTAATCCCTTCTCTACCCCCACCCCTCGTGAGCTACTGTTGAGGTTTCCTCCCCCTGAGGGACAGTTACGAGGCTCACTTTTATCTTCTTTTCATTTAAGAATCACCTCTCCCCCTTTGAAACTACAGCTTTCTGCTTGACTATAGTTGACATATGCTCAAGCTTAAGAATGCCCAATCAATAAAATGCTGAATTGGGCTGTTCGTTGTGTCTGCGTTAGCGCCATTGTTAAGCTTGAACCTTGCGCGTGCATTCGTTGTCGATTCCTCTCGCGTGCGGTGGTGCGTCAATACTGCGACACGTGAAGCACGCAACAACCACAACAGCATAGCCCCATGGCGTTTGGCAAAAGGCGTGCTTGCGCACCCGGCGGTGTACACATGCGCCTCATGCGCGGCGTGGTGACATCACTAATTCAATGAATGCGCTTTTAATTACATCCCCTTTCTCGATCCCCTGTGGCACCCTGCAAGACGCCGTGCATGTGTACGGGGAGTATAATGACTAGGGCGGTGCGCCTAATTATACCGTGGTTCCTGCGCGGCGCCTAGCACCGCTTTCGTGCTCTCCGCCTCTGTCACACTCAATTGCTTCGCTTGAGCGAGCCTTAATTTCGCTTTCTTTCTTACATTTTTGAATTTTGATGTCGAGAAGCTTCGCAGTCATTTCAATGACGCGCTATACGCGAGTAAATATGCGTAGTCGAATGTTTTCTCACAAACGGAACAGGGGTGGGTGGAGTAGGGAAGAGGGGCGATAAAGAACTTGTTTTGGAAGCAACATGAGAAAGGCTGTAAGAGATCTTTTTGTTTAGTTTTGTATATGCGTGCGTCATTGTGCACACAAAGAAAATTTGTACCCTCAAAAATACCTGTGTATAGGTTGCCTATGAAGACCTTGTAGGCTTATGTTCTCACAACGCCGGACGTCGTAATCCGAAGGTTCTAAGTTCTTCAGGGCCACCGACGTTTGTAAAGATGATTTTCGTCAATCTTAGCTTGTTTTTTCTTGGTCTATAGTGACTGTTGAATTCATTTGGTTGCGTTTTAAAAAAAAATCCTCCGAATAATTCCCTTTCATATGTCATCAGTTATTTAGTGGGTTATAATGCCAGACTCTGCAAAGAGTCGATTTGCGAACGTTCCGACGTAGCGAATCGTGTATGAACTATAAGAGAGCTCTCGCAAAGTGGTTCTAAGAGAGAAAGGAAGAGAAAAGTGAGCCCCGTAACTGTCTGCTTCAGGGAGCGACACCTCAACAGTAGCTCACAAGGGATGGGGATGAGGAGGGATTAAAAGGATTAATAAAGATTAATAAAGGTGTAGAGAGAGAGAGAGAGAGAGAGAGAGAGAAAGAGAGATGAGGGTAGCCAGAGAGCGACGACATATCAAGGGGATAGGAGAGATAGGAAAGATGGAAACACGGTCACAGGAGTCCGAGGACGGGGCACCACTTGCGAGAGCTCTTGTCGGCGTAAGGAGATGGCGTAGAGCAAGTCCAGTCGGTCAGAGCTACGCTATCGTCGGAGGTCAGCGTCAGGAGATGACGTAGGGCGAGCCCAGTCGGCCAGAGCTACGCTGACGTCGGAGATCGCGAGGACACAACCGGTTGGCACGGAATCCAGCGAGCGAGAGAGCTCCCGCAACATGCTGCGGTGAGTTGGGTCCACGGTGTGGTCGGGTCGTAGCCTTCGCTCAAACCCGCCGCGCAGTTCAAATGTGCTTGCTCGAGCATCCAGCGTGAACGACGTATATACTAATGTGTAGTACACTCGGGGCTTACTTAAAGCTGTGCAGATGATGGCACGCTCATACCTTCTTTCCTCCTCGTCTGTTAGGTTTTTATTGCTAATTTTTATTGCTCCCACTGAGCTGTTCTTGTATTGTCCACTGAGATGCGAGAACGAGCCGCATATTCTCGCCCGGTGTGGATCTTCCCACGTGTCTCGAGTTTCGTAAACCCCGTCTCGCAGTTCGTTCCCGCGTTTTTTTTCTTTTTTTATTCTTTACTGCCTGTCCGAGACGGCTGTCCCCTTCTTTGACGCGTAATGTCTCCGTGAAATCTAATCTAATCGGGCAGCATTTGCGATTGCGCGATGCCGCGTGTGGTCTCTCTCTTTCCCCTCTAACATCCGCGTGGCGTGTTTTTCTGGGAGTGCCTTCTCTCTGTCGACGCCACTCGCTTATCTGCGTCTTTTGCGCACCGTAGTGGCTTTTGGTTATCTCTGTTCGTGACTCTGCGTTTTATAAGCAACCAATTCTATTGATTGATTGATTGATTGATTGATTGATTGATTGATTGATTGATTGATTGATTGATTGATTGATATGTGGGGTTTAACGTCCCGAAACCGCCCTATGATTATGAGAGACGCCGTAGTGGAGGGCTTCGGAAATATCGACCACCTGGGGTTCTTTAACGTGCACCCAAATCTGGGCACACGGGCCTACAGGATTTCTGTCTCCATCGGAAATGCAGCCGCCGCAGCCATGATTCGATTCCGCGACCTGCGGGTCAGCAGCTGAGTACCTTAGCCACTAGACCACCGCGGCGGGTCTATAAACACCCAATTTGCTCGAATGAAAGCTAGTTAAGTGTTTTCAGGGGCATCCAACTTACAAGCGCCTAAGTTACAAGTGTGTCGAGCTGCCGTCCATCAATAAATCCGACGACCCCGCATGTCAAAATCGGGTTGACTTTATTTTTATTTTTATTTGAATATTCCTTTGCGACGTCTGCTTTGTTAAGAACGGAAAGTTCTTATGAATGAGCGCTTGGTATACATATGCGACCGCTGGCTGTGAGTGCTGTCACGTTGCTCTATACGATGCTATATATGTCTATACCCCGTTACGTTTGATATACATGTTTGTGGCTGAATAAAAGTCCATTACTACTACGACATGTTTAAAGCGTTTATGCAGAATCGCTGTTGACTCTCTCTCTTACTGTCCATTCGAAAGCGTACGTGAATGTGTACATGTTACTAGGTACGAATAAAGGGTTTCTTCGGGATAAACGCTTTCTTCGCAGCGTTCCGCTGCAGCTTCCCGGGATCTTGCAACGCTAACATGA